GTGTATGTGAGGAGGCACAAGAAAGCCACAGCAAAGGGGTGGAGTGTCATAGGAGATGTGGTAAAGAAATAACTATATATGGAGTGAAGGTGTGGGATGAAGATAGATGAGGACTGATCGTGTAGTACCTGGTGGATGATTCTGAGCACTTTGGCCTTTACTGAGGGAGATGGGAAGCCCTTGCAAGTAAGAGACTTTAAAGGATCACTCTAACCTGCTGTTTTGAGAATCAACTATGGGGCAGGGGCCAAAAAATCATACAGATGAGAGGGTGGTGGTGGCTTGGACATAAAGTGGTAACAAGTAGAAAGGTGGCTAGATTCTGAGTATATTTTCATATTAGAACCAACTATTGCAGATGGGGTGTGGGATATGAAAAAAGGAGGAGTCAGAGATGGCAAAAAGCTTTGGAGATCAGCAAACATGGTGGATGGACTTACTACTTATTGAGATCAGAGAGGCTGTAGTAAGTGTCGATATTTGGGGGAAGGGATGCAAATTTGTCTGTTTAGTTTGAGAACCATATTTGATTCTAAGATAACATGCTGAGTAGGCAGTTAGCCATACAAGTCTGTAGTTCAGTGTAGCCCTCCAGGAACTACAAATATAAATTTGGAAGTTATTAGCATTTAAAGTATGAGAAGAGGAAAGCTCACTAGGGGAGCAATTGTAGGCTGAGCAGAGTTTCAAGAAATGAAGTGGTTGTTGCATGGGGATGTCTTAAGAGAGGTTTTTTTTTTTTTCCTTTCTAAAGGCATGTAGGCTAATGAGATGAGAATGATTCCATAGGAAGGAAAAGGTGATGCTGGAAGTACAGAAAATTTCTCAAGCAATTCTCTCACAGTTGAAGGAATTTCTTCTACTTGCTTCAAAGATCGCTGACATGCAGCATCCTGTCTCTGTGGGTGGGAAATGATATATAGAAGCACTGAGACAGATAAAAGGCCAGAGAGGTAGGCATTAAAAACATTGTTCACCATGATGGCCAGGTATGGTGGCTCACGTCTATAATCCTAGCACTTTGGGAGGCTGAGGTGGGCAGACTGCCTGAGCTCAGGATTCCGAGACCAGCCTGGGCAACACGGTGAGATTCCATGTCTACTAAATGTGTGTGTGTGTGTGTGTGTGTGTGTGTGTATGCCGGACATGGTGGCAAGCACCTGTAGTTCCAGCTACTTAGGAAGCTGAGGCACAAGAATCACTTGAACCTGGGAGGCAAAAGTTGCCATGAGCCGAGATTGCGCCACTTCACTCCAGCCTGGGCGACAGAGCAAGAATCTGTCTCCAAAAACAACAACAAAAAAACACTGTTCACCCTGAGACTCAATGATAAAACTTAAGCAATATGAGAGTAGTAGAATATACAATGAATATATAAAACTCAAATAGCCTAGAAACTATATATCTGAAAACAGATCCAAACCTAGGATAATAAAGAACTCTCAAAGCTCAACAGTAAAATAAAATAAAACATCCCATCAGAAAGTAAGCCAATGACATGAAGAGAGATTTCACCAAAGAACATACATAAATAGAAAATAGGCACATAAAAAGATGTTCAATATCATGAGCCATTAAGGAAATGCAAATTAAAATCACAAGAAGTTATCACTACACACCTAGCAGAATGGCTAAAACGAAACATAGTAAAAACACCAAGTGCTCATGAGAATGTAAAGAAACTGGATCTCTCAAACACTGTTGGTGAGAATGTAAGATGGCAATTTATACAATGACAAATTAGTTTGTCAGTGTGTTAAAAAACTACACATATACCATACAACCCAAGAATTGTACTCCCAGTGACTTACCCCACAGAAATGAAAATGTATGTCAATACAAAAACCTATTAAATGTTCGTAACAGCTTTATTTATAAAAGCCAAGAACTAGAAACAACACACATGTCTCTCAATAAGCAAATGGCTCAGCAAACCATGGTATATCCATACCATGGAATACTACTCAGAAACAAAAATAAATGAACTATTGATATACATAACTTGGATTAATCTCAAGAGCATTATGATGACTCTAAAAAGCCAGTATCAAAAGGTTCCATATTATATTATTCCATTTATATAACATTCTTGCAATGCCAGAATTATAGAGATGGAAACAGATTAGTGATTGCTAAGGGTTAGGGATAGTTGTGGAAGATGGTAGGTGTGACTATTAAAGGGTAGTATGAGGGAAAACTTTGTGGTAATGTAATATGTCTGCTACTTGATTGCAGTGATGGTTACACAAATCTGTACAAGTGATAAAATGACATAGAACTATACATACAGACTGTACCAAGGTCAGTTTCCTAGTTTTGATCTCACAGTTATTTAAGATGTAACCATTGGGGGAAACTGAGTAAAGGCTACATGGGACCTCACTGTATTATCTTTGCAATTTTTTGTGGATCTATAATTATTTCCAAGTAAGATGCTAAAAAAATGCATGCATGCATGTATGAATGAATATAAAAGTTTTCCCTCTCCCCATTACATTACAGATATTACAATTCCAAACCCATTGTGTGTGTATTATACAACTAAGCAAATGAGTTATTAATATATTGATGTTATTGGGTGCCGGAATTCTCACTGTGAAAGAACATCTGTAAGGAATTTTTACATATCTACAAATATAGAATGGCTGGAAGAGTGCTGAGGGGTTGGATTGGAATTGGAGATCAGCATAATGAATTAGTTATTTCGCATATATGTCTACATGTATACATATGCTTACATGTCTACATATAGACATATATAGAATTTGTATGCATGTATACATATATGTGATTTTTTTTCCTAGCTCTATTGCTGAAAGATCCAGAAGTAATGACATTCTGGTAGCAATGAGCATATTCTAGCTCCCAGATCTCAGTTTCTAAATATTACTCCTAACTAAAAATAACCAAATGCCCACTGACAGATCACTGTATAAAGAAAATGTGGTATATATACATAATATAGTTTAGCTGTTTCCCCACCCGAATCTTGAATTATATCTCCCAGAATTCCCACGTGTTGTGGGAGGGGCCCGGGGCAGGTAATTGAATCATGAGGGCCAGTCTTTCCTGTGCTATTCTTACGATAGGGAATAAATCTCACGAGATCTGATGGGTTTATCAGGGGTTTCCATTTTGCTTCTTCCTCATTTTCTCTTACTGCCACCATGTAAGAAGTGCCTTTCACCTCCCACCTGATTCTAAGGCCTTGCGAGCCATGTGGAACTGTAAGTCCAATTAAACCTCTTTTTCTTCCCAGTCTCAGGTATGTCTCTATCAGCAGCGTGAAAACGACTAATACAGTAAATTGGTACCAGTACAGTGGGGCACTGCTGAAAAGATACCCGAAAATGTGGAAGTGACTTTGGAACTGGGTACCAGGCAGAGGTTGGGACAGTTTGGAGGGCTCAGAAGAAGACAGAAAAATGTGGGAAAGTTTGGAACTTCCTAGAGATTTGCTGAATGGCTTTGACAAAAAAAGCTCATAGTGATATGAACAATAAGGTCCAGATTGAGGTGGTCTCAGATGGAGAGGAGGAACTTGTTGGGAACTGGAGCAAAGGTGACTCTTGCTATGTCTTAGCAAAGAAACTGGCAGCATTTTGCCCCTGCCCTAGAGATTTGTGGAACTTTGAACTTGAGAAAGATGATTTAGAGTATCTGGCGGAAGAATTTCTAGGCAGCAAAGCATCCAAGAGGTGACTTGGGTTCTGTTAAAAGTATTCTATTTTAAAAGGAAAACAGAGCATAAAAGTTTAGAAATTTTGCAGCCTAATGATGTAGTAAAAAAGAAAAACCCATTTTCTGAGGAAAAATTCAAGCTGGCTTCAGAAATCTGCATAAGTAACAAGGAGCCAAATGTTAATCCCCAAGACAATGAGGAAAATGTCTCCTGGGCATGTCATGGGTTTTCATGGCAGCCCCTACCCACCCCTATCACAGACCTGGAAGCTCAGAAGGAAAAAATGGTTTCGTGGGCTGGGCCCAGGGTCCCCACGCTGTGTGCAGCCTAGGGACGTGGTGCCCTGAATCCCAGTCACTCCAGCCATTGCTAAAAGGGGCTAAGGTACAGCTTGGCCCATGGTTCAAGTGATTTTATGTTACTACATTTTTAAATTTCTCTACAATGAACATATACTATTTTTAAAAAGTAAAATGAATAAAATAAAACCAACAATGACTAAGCGGACGCAAAGGAAAAAAGCTGGAAGGGAAATAAAGGCCAACAGTGCTTTGTGATTGCATGATGCTATCATGGATGATATATTTCTTTCCCTATTTCTAACCCTGTGATTTGACTAAGATGTGACTTCTTCCTCTTACCCCTTTCTTTAAAACTTTTGCATCTGCTGCTCTTAAGGTATATTTAGTATCTTTTTAGCATTAAGTGACACCACTTGTTTGGCATCTAGGGTTATTTTCCTGCTGCCCAGGACTGAATCTTTACACAATGGCTACCTCTGGTAACAATTTCCAGCTGTGGAGCAGTTCTATAGAATTTTCACCCCTGCCTTGTGCTGTCCCATTCCTGCTCTCCTTGAATAGCATATAGTCTAGAGTAAAGAGAAGTAAAGAGGAGTATTCTCATGGAGTGGGAAGGTATGTCTGGATGTCTTTTCTTTTGTAAAACCTTTTAAAACACTATCACCATCCATTAGCTTCCTCCACACTTTCTCTGTAATTAGGCAAAGTGATGTTATCTATAACCTTCTAGAACAAAGCTTGGTGCAAATCAAATCCTTCCTACTTGTCAAGATGATAAATCCTAGCTCAGCAGAGTCCTATAGAAACGGGGCTTTCAAAGACAGTCCAGCACAAGGGGAGGTGAACCTAGCTCTCCAACCCACAGAATATTACTAATTAGATGCCACTTCCCGAGCTCCTAACAAAGGAATTTTTAATTGCTAGCAATGTACATAATTCAGGGATGCAGATTTCAAATATACATCAAAAAGGTAGGCAAATTAGGGCAAATTTTTTTAAATTGCCAACATACTTACAGTTTTTTCATTATTTTCAAAAGCTTCTCTTGCTTCTTCAAATGTACAGAATTCTTCTTTGCACTCACGCTCAATGTTGCCCTGTCTTATTTCTTCAAAAAACCCATTAGCTCTTGGGTAGCGTTTTAATACGGAATTGGCTTTTTCTCCCGTGAGGAAAACTAAAAAGAAATATAATAAGAAGTATAAAAATGTAATAAAAAACCTATGTGGGAAGTTGATATACCAGATGAAAACTGCAAGATGCTCTTTAGAAAACATAGCCAACATCCTAAGCCTCTTTCGGTGAGTCAGCAATGAAGTAACACTCAGCTCCAAACCACTGTATCTGCTATCTTCTTCATCATGTGAGTATGTCCTTTCAATAGCAGTTGCCCTGGGCAGGGACAGTGACATAACGAACTATGTGATATTCAGACTTTAGCACATTCCTGCAAACCATGGGTATTTAAATATAGTAATAATGATAGCACTACTTATTCTCATTACTGTAAGTAGATACCCCAAGGCATTCTGCTGACAGACAGCAGCAGCCAAATCAAATCCAGTCTCTAGATTATCAGTCTTTGTCCGTCTACCTAAAAATAAATAACACTTCAGTTGACCTAGTAATATAAACCCAGAGAGCTCTTACTTGTATGAAAAGAATAGGTTTTAAAAAAAAAATTGAGAAGTTAAATTTGGCCATGATTCATTCTATGAAAATCCTAATAATAATTTTGTTCTAAATGTACTTGAGTTAAATACAGTGTGATGCTTTTTAACACATTCAACCTCATTTCACTGTCCTTTAGAAAAAGAAAATTCTTCTGCATGATTTACAGAGGCATTTCAATATAAACGTTCAAAATACATTTATGAAACCATGTAAAATAATAAGATTATTTTATTTTAATAATAAAATATAAAAATAAAAAATAAGATGTTTTATTTTTAAATACAAATAGATTTTAAGTTCAATTTCAATTACATTTTTCTAAAAGAGTGTTGCTTGTTTGGAGAGACAAATATTATGCCACCAGAATTTCATTTCTGTTAATGCAAGAGATTAGAATATTTCCTAAATTATAGAATTCTGACATGAGAAAAGGCATATTACGGATCTTTCAAGATGCTAAAAAAGTCTACATTTTCTGAAAAACATTTTGAAGGAAATGAAAAACTTTAAAAGAGTTATGTGCTCTTTTAAAAATGACAATGACAGCCAGCAATGGAGTAAAGTTTTGCTTTGTTATAGAAATGAGTATTTTACTTTATAGAATATATGGACTTATTATTTAGGATTCTTTAAAGTATCCAAATTGATACCAGCTAGATGGCACTTATACCAGGGTGAAAACCATGATAGGCCTTCAATGAGTATTTCCTTCTGTACCTCAGAAAGGGTTGCCTTTATGACCCTTTATGAGGTACAGAAGGAAGGAAATTCAGAGAACAGATTATGATTATGGAATATGAATTCACAGATTCATAGAGTATCATTAGAACAAACTTTAGAAAATACAAATTGTGGTAAGTGTAATGAAGGAAAGCAAAAGGTTACTGTTAAATTGGAGAATAATAGTAAAATTTTCTAACAATGCTTCTTGCCTTTTAGCCGCATCAGAATCCCTGAAGGACTATCACACAGACTGCTGGGTCCCACTCCAGAGCTTCTGATGCCATAGATCTGAGGTAGGGCTATAAAATTACATTTCTACTCAGTTCCCAGGAAATGCTGCTGCTGCTGCTGCTCCCATTACCACAGTTTGAGAATCACTATCCTAATGAAAGTTCCTTGGAAACATTCTGAGGAAGTATTTATGGAATGCTAGGGTTAACAAATTTAAAGAGATCTTTCACTGAATGACTTTTTAGGGTCCTTAATATATATTTAGTATAAACAGTCATGCATCACTTAACAATGTGGATCCATTCTGAGAAATACGTTAGGCTGTTTCATCATTGTGCAAACAGGACGGAGTGTATTGTCGCAAACCTAGATGGCATAGCCTACTAGTCACCTAGGCTATATGATATAGCCTGTTGGTCCTAGGCTATAAATCTATTCAGCTTGTTACTATACTGAATACTATAGGCAATTATAACAATGGTAAGTATTTGTATATCTAAACATTGAAAATGTACAGGAAAAATATGATATAAAAGATAAAAAGTGGTACTGTACAGGGCACTTACCATAAAAGGAGTTTGCAGGGCACTTATCATAAATGGAGCTAACAGGATTGAAAGTTGGCCTGAGTGAGTGGTGAGCGAATGTGAAGGCCTAGGACATTACTGTACACTACTGTAGACTTTATCAACACTGTCCACTTAGGCTACATTAAATATATAAAAATATATTTCTTAAAAAAAATATTTTGGTTGGGAGCGGTGGCTCATGCCTGTCATCCCAGCACTTTGGGAGGCTGAGGTGGGAGGATTGCTTGAGCCCAGGAGTTCGAGACCAGCCTGGGCAACACAGTGAGACCTCATTCAAAAAAATTAAAATTAAATTAAAAAATAAAAAATAAAATGAAATGAAAATAAAAAGAAGGAAAATGTTTTTCCTTCTTCAGTAATAAATTAACCTTAGCTTCCTATAACATTTTTACTTTATACTCTTTTTAAATTTTTAACTTTTTAACTCTTTAGTGATAACACAACTTAAAACACACATTGTACAGCTGTACAAAAATATTTTATTTCTTTATATATATCCTTATTCTATAAGCCTTTTTCCTATTTAAAAATTTTATTGTATTTTTTTACTTTTTAAACTTTTTTGTTAAAAATTAAGACACAAGCACACACATTAGCCTAGGCCTCCACAGGGTCAGGATCATCAGTATCACTGTCTTCCACATCCAAATCTTATCCCACTTGAAGGTCTTCGGGGACAATAACATGCATGGAGCTGTCATCTGCTATTATAACAATGCTTTCTTCTGTACTACCTCCAGAAGAACTCGCTTGAAGCTATTTTATAGTTAATTGTTTTCATAAGTAGAAGGAGTTTACTCCAGAATGACAATAAATAGTAAATACATTATTAGCCAGCATCATAGTCATTTGTTATCATTTTCAAGTATTATGTACAATATATAATTGTATGTACTATACTTTTATATGACTAGCAGTGCAGTAGGTTTGTTTACTCCAGTATTGCCACATACATGTGAGTAATGTGTTATACTGTGATGCTATGATGTCAATAGGCAATAGAAACTTTTCAGCTCCTAATCTTATGGGACCATCATTGTATACGCGGTCTATTGTTGACTGAAACATCATTATGCATGCATGTATTTGTAAGTCTCCTGAAACGGAACATGATACATGCATTTGTGATATTTGACTACAGTACCCTTTTTCAAGAGATATTTTACTGATTTAACAACTTCCTAGTCATTGGTCTTATTTATACCCTCTGAATTAACACGTAAGTCTCCTCCATATAACAGGCCAACTAATACAGGAAGAAAGACAGTAAATGGTTTCCCGTGGGACTTCTCTTTTCCAGAATAAACATGTCTTGTTTCTTCATCTGTTTGCCATAGAAAATGGATTTGAGTCTGCATCATCTTCCTCTGAAAATACAGTAACCTATGCTGAGTGCAATACTTTGTGTTTGGTCTGACAAGTGCAAAACTGATCAGGATTATCGGCTTCCTTGTTTTAAAGACAATACATATGTTAATGTGGTCTAAGATATCCCTGGGTTTTGAATCAGTTTTTCTGAGGATAAATCAAACAATCAACATTAATGTATTTTGAACTTTTTTTTTTTTTTTTTTGAGACGGAGTCTCGCTGTGTCGCCCAGGCTGGAGTGCAGTGGCGCGATCTCGGCTCACTGCAAGCTCCGCCTCCCGGGTTCACGCCATTCTCCCGCCTCAGCCTCCGAGTAGCTGGGACTACAGGCGCCCGCCACCACGCCCGGCTAGTTTTTTGTATTTTTAGTAGAGACGGGGTTTCACCATGTTAGCCAGGATGGTCTCGATCTCCTGACCTCGTGATCCACCCGCCTCGGCCTCCCAAAGTGCAGGGATTACAGGCTTGAGCCACCGCGCCCGGCCGTATTTTGAACTTTTAAGAGAAGAAAGCTAAATGCTTCTAAGAGACAATTATTTTCTTATATGCTATCCAACTCAAAAAGGTGAGTCAAAGCAAGCCACTAACTCCAGTAACCGGAAAGCAGTCTAATTTAGAAGAATAAGCAATTGGAAGGTAATATAGCAGGACACAAAGCTTCTAATCCAAGTCTAATCAAATTACCAAGCATTCCATAATCATCTTCTATGTATTTCTTGTACTGGGCGGCAAGGTAATATAATACTGAGAACTCTACATGGATTCAGTTGGCAAGTAGATTTTATCTCACTTGCCAAATCCAGTCCATTAGAAGATATCACTTAAAGTAAGAATCTGACCTGTAGGAAAGATACTATTATAGATTAGTTATGTCTGCCACATATTAGGGAACAGGAAGTAGTGGCAGAGAATTTGCCAGTGCTCATCAAAGTATTTGGAAGCCTAATGGACCCTAAATGATGATACCAGAACTAAATTATTTTCTTTTTTGCCCATGACACAGCCCTCAGGAGATCCTGAGAACATGTGCCCCTAAAATTAGAATTTTTTAAAATGTGAAAACAAAATAAAGGAGAAGGTGGCAGCTTTGATCTCTAGGATGAAATCAGACTACCTCCTCTAAAAACATGGGGCAATTTCCAGGATGCAAGGTCTTGCGTTAGGACATTTAACTAAAGCCATGATGTTTGAAACTAAAGTTGATCACTTCCTTAAATTGAGTGATCACTTCCTTAATTGCCTCTTTCTCCTTAAATTGTGTGAGTTAAATTACAGCTATCAGGAATCATGTGCATGCCTTAATGAAGGATTACATGATGTGACAAGTATACAGAATGTAAATGTGCCTTGAGAACACAATACTGGGGTGTTATTTAACACACGAAGGTTTCCCATTAAAGGAAATAAAGAAAAACCTAAACTTTTTTTCTGCAGATTCAGTTAGGAAACACTCTTATTAAATATTTCAAATCCAAGGCATATTTACACATACATACACACAAAATAAGTATATTTATTCAAAAAATGTAACCACTTTTTCATAATTTCAAAATAAATAAGCTCTCACCCATGCTTTCTCTTCAAAAGAAA